CTCTATATCCTGTGTCGACCCGCTTCGTTTGAAAGGTTCGAGTTCGCGTCTAACGCCTGGACAGCAGAAAGACCTAGATCTTGCTTTTTTCAGTTAACGTATCGATCACACTGCCGATCGTCCGATCGTATTGATTCGTACGCGAACGGTACTGGGCATGCGTGATCAAAATAAGCAGCAAAAAAAAAAATGTAGGATTGGTGTGTTTAATCCATCGTTCGTTATGGCTATAATTTCGGACCAAACAAATATCAATGCTTAAGCAGGAAAAAGCCTGCAAGTAGTATCATTGAACGAGTTGTGCATAGTCGGCAATCAAATTCGTTTATTTCGGGCAACAAAGACAACAAATTATTTCACAGGCGCGCCAGTTCTTGCTTCTTCAAATTTACAGGAACCCAGAATCTGGGAAGGACAGCGAATCGGGGTTTCTGGATCCAGTCTTGCATTGACTAGAGAGCACAAAATCTAATCGAACTAATATGAACCCGTAAGGAGTTGTTATTATTATTATTATTCGTAAACTCGTAAGACGCTTCATCAAATCATATATGCGCATTACATGCAATTTCGGTCACAGTTTGAATAACTTATTTCGGGCTTGTCGTTGTTTAATCACAACATGAAGTGCCTATAATCACTTGTATACTAGTTTCTCACATGTTCTTCCATCTTCAACGATTACTATTTCGCAAAAACAAACAGTTCCATTTCATGGGTACACTGTTTTTGTTTTGTGTGCCGTAAACGACATTTAGCGTTACTCAAGAATTCTTCAGATGTCTTTCCTAAGCTTGCTTTATGTATAGCATGTTCCGACGTTTCCAATATGCTCGTCGCACACCTGCTTCATCCTGTTAAAAATTGGCGAAGTAGGCATTTTTCAAAACAGTCGATGTGTTTCCATGTATCCATAATACTGATTGAAAGATAATCAAAACGTTTTATATATACAATGGCTAACGGCTCAACCGCCTCCTTATATAGTAGATTATCTATCGGATGCGAAGGTCTGGCCATATTCTCCTTAAGTTCTCTTTTTTCTTCTTCTTCTTCTTATCAACTTCGATGGACTTTCTGTTTGTTCGAAAATACGTTTTAGGCCCGTAACATAATATTATAAATATACAAAAGAAATGTACAGGTTAAATTATATCAATTAAAAGTTACTCGCTCCTACGCTGATTTTTTGTTTTGCCCTTAGCTTGGATATTTTTAGGAATTCGCATGTGTAACTGCGCAATCTGGCGTGCACCTGACAGGACACTTCGAGCTATCAAACAGTACGTTGTCGGGGGAGGGGGGTCCTCCACCGAGCACAGTCCCCTATAACGGTTTGCTCAATCGCGGTCAAACAAGCGTGGTTGCCTCGAGGAAAACTCATCCCCCTAAGAAATTGATTACCACAGATGAGTACGTTGGCAGCCAAGAGCGTTTATTGCTGCCAGTTAGGCGTAGTGACGTATCTTTCATTTAAATTGAGAGCTCACAATAACGGACAGTGATAAGCACGGCAGGAGCTCGTTCTTGCTTAGAGCAAAAGTGTAAGTGTCCAAGATGGGGAGTCATTTAGATCTGCACTAATATGGGCCGAGACAATCCGCCGCATCAAATACAGCGTGCGAAGCAAGACGTACGTTGGCACTAACGGGCTTGCGTTAGGAAGCGAAAGACCGAGGCAAGATCAGCTTGGATGGCTTTGTCGGCTTCTGAAGGCTCATGGTGAACAGGGCTCCGAGAAGCAACCTCTTAAATGTGACGTTCATACTTACCAATTTCTTGGTGAATATTACTATATCGTCCGGGAAACGGAGACCTTCGAACCACAGAAGCACGTGTCCCTACAATCATTGCGATCAAAGCTGGCCAAGTCAAGTACTCCTACTGGAACTCCAATTCGTGGAGTTGGGTAAAGCGACAATCTCCATTTCTCCAATTCACCTATCATTATAGACTGGGCTTTTTCGAATTCCGTCGAGCTAAAATAAGTACCTAGCTAGTTTGACAAAGTCAAATATATTAACTAAAATGTGTAAGTCGTATTAATCAAGCGTAGCAAAACGATTCAACTAAACAAACCGTTTTGCAAACCACAAAGGTCCAGGGGCCTGTCTCTCACATGAAAACAGGACATTCGTCTTTTTGCTGTGAAATACACGCGCCTTCTTCAGATGACAGACAAAGACAAAGACGAAGACGTTTATCGTAAAAGAACAAAAACATAATTTAGGACAGCAAAAAATATTGGCAAGATGTCCTGTTATTGTATACTACAAAACTGTCAGTGTAAGGTTACTACGCTGGATCGTTTTCCTACGTTTCCTTCATACAGGGCTGTTACCTTTAGCGAACGCTGTCTTCAAAATCAACACATCGGTCATACTAGTATCCTGAAACCCGGCCCGACCACGGTCCAAATCCAACGGTTTCATTTCCATTCGCTTCCTCGATTAGAGCTGTTAAAGAAAACTCACTTGATCTGCGCAGTGACCGCTGAAGGACATATTATTTTTCCCAAGCAAATGGAAAATAAACGCAGTAACCTATACATAGGTTGTTTTCGTCAAGTGGCGAGTCCAGGTTCGTCGAAGTGAAAGTTACTACCGATTTATTGACTATATTACCAGCTACGATTTTCAGGCGAACTTTATGCTATTGTCGAAATGGCCATTCATCGTTTCCTTCTATTAGACGTTCTAACAGAATAGCCTTGAAGGCTACACAAAAGACAATACTTGTTTAGCTTTCAGCCTGATAGTCTATTATCGCTTGCTTGCCGATTACCTTTGTAAGGATTAAGCAGCGGCCCCAACGGCCTGTAAGTTACGAAGAATTAATTTAGTTAGCTACAGCTGTGCCCATTTATGCCCAAGGTCTATTTGCAGTTGTCTCTATCCCGACTCATCTGTGGAACTTTGTCAGAGCTCAACGATCGTGGTGTTGGGCCCATTTTGTTAACGACCGACCAACTGCCCGCCCGATATCATAACCCTTTTTGTCGTAAGATCCGAGATAGTTGCTTCAATATATTCTGCAATGGTAGCGGCACCGAACTCATTTAACAAATCTACGATACTATACGTTACCGACCCTATAGAACTTCATTGAAAAGAATTTATTATGGATTTAATATTACATACATTTCGTATATATATACCTATATGGATATTGCTCGAAAGTGTAGTTGTTACTATCTGGGGACAAAGGTTGATTTAGGTCGACCGCGTCAAGATGCTATGACAAGGTGAAGCTACTCAGTTACTTTTTGCATGGCCAACAATATACAATATCTGCTATTTCGTACCATTCGAGTACTATCTGTTTTTTTTTTTCATCTGTTACTGGTCCATTTTACAAATACGATTACAGTGTAGTATGGAAACTATATTGTCAGGAAACCATAGTTCAGCATGGTTATACCTATGTTCGCCTTATCTATTCAGTTTATCAACTTCCATTGGACTCTCAAGATGGCCAGGCGAGATATAGAAATATTAGTCCGTACACGAATAGCTTCAACGTGATGAACTCCTTTAGGCCTACGGGCAAAAGCCCTATGGCAATATAGATGGTTTCCTGTTAGACTTCCGTTAAATCAACCAACGTTAACCTTCTTAGCTATCTTATCTTGAGTTCGTTTATTGTAACTTCGTTTGTATTTTGTAGTCAGACTACGTTACAAACATCGCTACGGTAGGAATTGTTATGTTCTTATGACCGTCCTCGATAATAAAGCCGCTGCACCTCATAGCGCGAGAACTTAGGTCACTTCGTAGCATGGTATCGCCATATGGAAGTTCTAATACCGATAGCAAGAGAGCAGCGCTAAACTGTCCATAAATCGTCACAAAAAAACTCATCTGAGCAGGTAAAACGTTTGTAGTTGAGTCGTTTGGAAATTGCGCTTCAAGTTATCAAGTTATGTTTATGATAACCCTGCGTTATAAAGAAAATGGTGCGTTAGCGTGACCGAAGATGCCACCAATCTGTTGCACATTAATGATAAACTTGTTCTCTAAGCTGATCATAATAACATGATCAATCATGACTTCTCCCGTGAATCTCTCCTGAAAAGTTTCCGTTAAGATATCTAATCAATCACATAACTATAATTTTTTTAATGAACTATAACTTCTAGTAATCATCTGTTCATTTGTTTTGTCTTTGTTATTCTTTAATAGGCCTATCTTACGGATTGAGAACAATAACCTTTAATGTTAAATTAACTAGTTACTACACACTAATATAGAATATCTGCTGTTTTCGTAACGATATGTTCTGTTTGAAAAGACTGACGATAGTCAATTCTATGCTGTTCGCGCGATACTTGAGTACACAAAATTGCAGGGCATAAAATTAGTTCAAATGGCCAGTGGAAAATTCGTCACCTATTTCTAAAAACGAAAAACCGCTTGCGGTAGCTCCGAAAACCAACGCCGACAGCAGAAAGCCAAAGTCATATCAAACTCTAGGGGGTCTAAAAGCTAGGAGCAGCTTAATTTAGCCGCCCGTTTCACCCCATGCTTTGTGCACCTGGTGCATGCACATCATAAAATGGCACCAACCCCGGATCTCGACTCTACAACCTTTAATGGAATTTTATGTAGAATTAACTCTATTAGCCGTCGTTCGTCCGGATTTTAGTAAGATGGCGCGTCCGGACACTCACCAGTACAACATCCCAATGCTCTACATAAATCTACGTAAGTTTGTCGGAGTTACGATTTGTAGCGTTAACGAATCAGCTCCCTCCGTGAGCTAAAGCCCACCTGTCATGAAACATGTGGCATCTTTTACGACTGTACAATTGTCTTCCTTAGCTCAAAATAGCAGTTATCCAGATGAACGTGTCAAGTTTTGTTATATATATATATTGATCGTGCTGTCGACTAATTTCCCGAACAAACTCTATTACACGCGCGTGACCAACAGTAGCCCACGCAGGAGTATTTTGGCAGATCGCAACCGGCCCTACTGAAATGGTAACGTTGGCTTGAAAACAGGCATAAAAATATGCTCTGGATTGTCTAGAAACGAATTCGTTGTTTTCATGTTCAACCAACGGTTGTATGGGAGAGACAGAGGTTAGAGCTCTCTATGTCTTTCCGGTTACGTCATACGCCGTGATGTTGACACAAGTGAAACGCGTTTTTCTTTTTGCATTCAATCAGTCATTAAGTATGTCAATAGATGAACGAAAACGATTCACCGTTACAATTCTAAGGAGTCATACTGTACAGGAAGGCTGATGAGAAGTGGTTATCAGCAGAGAGGCCTCTGGTATCTTCGGACCTGTTATCGAGAAGGTAACGTTGGATTCTACTACAGTCTACTACCGTTCCGTTCTGTTCGACCTCACATAATTGATAATTATTTAAAGCATTAGCTGACAATACGACGGATCTTTTTTCTTACGTCAGTAATTTAATCTGTGGTTCGACTGCACTATGGTGCCACTGACGACTAGTACACCTTTGTTAAGGTACGGATAACAGTTCAAAGCTGACGCATAAGGGGCAGTATAACTTGAAGGTTGGAGATCGTCCGTCGAATGTAAACCAACACAGCTCCTGGCGAAACGTTAACTAACTCAACGTTCTTGTACGGCCTCTCTCTCTCCCAGACCACTGAAAGTCAGTTTTTTCCGCTGTTTTAAACTTCTGGTTTGCATCATAGGGATTAGCCTGTTTCTATTTTAGGCCTTCTGTTATTGACTTAAAGCTTTTGTAACGAACACATCAGTCGTCGTTGATTGAGCACTACATGTACATGTTTCATATGTGATTACAGAGAATAGATATTCAAAGATAGAGTGTCGACATACAGACACAAAGCGGTGAATTTAGTAGGCATTGTAGTCGGAGAACGTTATTGTTACCTGAAGCCCCACAGGGGGCGGATACTCAGGTCTAAGGCCGTTAAACTTACTGATTTCTTAATCAGTCTTCAATTTTCCATTTTAGTCCTTTCCTCGCACACTATTCGCAACTCTTTTGAAAACTCTTTTATATACAACTCTACTTTTCCTTTTCATTAAATAATTCACATATTTTGACCGAGACCCCATTTTTTTAGAAATGGTGCTTTCTACAAACATAAATAGGCATTTCGATATGTCCAGTCTATTTGACGTTCGTACCTAGCTAGAACAAAAACCTTAAGAATGAATCTAGGGAGCACCGGTGAATAACACCCAGGACGTCAATCACAAATAAACATCCACCACACTAGTGCAGTTATCGTTTACCTTTTAATGTATTGCCATAGTTTATAGAAGCCGCTACTTATGCCTGTTAATATTGTGAAGGTTTCGAGTCTTACGCTGGGTACAGTCGTCAAACAAGTGCTTCAGGCGGCCTCAACAGGGAATAACGAAGGGGCTGGCTATACCAAAGTTCAAATCTAGACTACTTCGCATACACTTACACAAAAAAGAATCGTCATTCTGCGGTCTACGGCACCATATTGGAACTGCTTTACTGAGAAATCCACTATCTCCAGGATAAACAATTTTAAAATAAATTAAATGTTTACTATGGGCATATTAGATTCGCTAAACGCCATTTTAAAGTCTATAGCATTTTATTTATCAATTTTAGGAGCCAAACAGAAATCGGTTAAAGAATTAAATGTACATCTACCGTCTATTGCTAGTCGTTAGAAATGCGTTCCTTCGACCCGATGGAACTTCTTAACGTGTTGTGCCGGTTAAGTCACCATAGAACTTCCCTGATTTTTTAGGAAGGGTTTCTAGTGAAAATGCGACGATCGTCACGTACGTAATTCCCCAAAAAAATCGAAACGTATTTGTGAGTAAGATGCAGGACTCGCCTTTGATAAAGCTTTTGAAGGTATTTCGATTTTTGAGATCGAAAGTTTACTTTTATGATATTTCTGTAGATCTAAAGTGACCTATGTGAGTGACCTAAAGCCAAACCACTGGCGGTTGTTTCAATAAAAAAAATATTCATCTTACGTTATTTAAAGGCCATATGTGTGCCACTGCTGTTATTCCAAAACGTAGTAGAATTTGTAAACTATCTTGATGTGGGCTATACAGGTATTTCACTTCGTTTTGTGACTTAAGTATTGCAACTACACGAAAGTAACATTTAGGTTGCAAAATCGGAAGGTGTAATAAGCATTACCTCCAATGAGTTCCCCAAAAAAACTTGTGAGTTTTGTTTATATAGAGTACGGTCGTATCTTCTAAAATAGAAACCTTTAGTTGCTAACTTCCTAGATTCTTCCTTTGAATTCAAGCCAATAAAAAATCGAACTTGATCTGTTTCCTAAGGGTCTGATGCCAGGCGTTTTGTACCCATCTTTCTTACGTTCATCTCAAGGCACACAAGCAGGCCAATGGTGAGCCTATGCTTTTTTTCAGGCTCGATTACGTATTATTTGACTGAAGCTTAAGCAGTATAGCATAGTCTGTGCCTCTTAATTAATATCAAAGCTTTTTCTTGTATTTACCTAATCATAAATCTAGGTTTTCTGAACGTCCATCAACGTTATCCAGTTAATCGCGCTAGCTACCTGCTATATTCATTAGCGCTAGTGCTGTTTAATAGGGTGTCCGTTGCTAAAATCGCCCCTTTCGAGGGGCTTTTATTCGTTATTTGTTAGGGGTGTAGCTGCTTAACTGGCCTGTCTTCTGATCGAAATATTTGTCTAGGGTTTATTTTTCTTTTTTTGCAAACGGGTCTACATAATACGACCAAATTTGGTCCCGATTGAACGCTTGTTATGACATAAGCCCAAATAATTCCCATAATTCTATAGCTAATTTAATGTTCTCGTGCTGAAAAAGGAGGCAAGAACGATGATACAGGCTTAGAGTTTCCACTGGCGCCGACGGCGTTTCGATACGCAACGCTACCACCGTTATTGAACAGCATTATGACGATAGCTACGAGTGCCATCGCACACCCTTCAATAAGGTCTGCAGTGTAATGGTACAATTTCCCTCTCCAAACAGATTAAGAGTTAAATAGTGTTCTTGTTAAAAAGCATGATTCAAGGTAAACATTCAATAATACTTGCCTATTCGACCATGATGGCTATAATAAGCACTGTAGAAAAGGTGATGCATTATTAAACAAGCAACCATTAAACAGGATGATGATGATGATGACAGTATATCGTTATAGGAATACTAATGTAAATATGTCCAAATCCATAAATCAGACAAAAACGCTCGACCCAGAGTTTGTTAAGCAAACAAACTCTAGGAACTAGCTTTATCAACACAGAGTCATACAGCCGATTCCGACATATGATTGCAGTACTTCCATGCTATTTCTCCCGTTTGTTTTTTCTGTTTGGCCATGACTTCGTACCAGAAAAGCGCGAAAGCGCAAGAAGTAAGCCTTGTCAAGGATTCTATCGAAGGAAAAGTCAGTTGGACGTTCTGCGTTTATCATGTGGGTATCGCCACTGATAATGACCAGGCGCTCACAGGACCTTGCCGCAATCGACGATCACACTAAGCAGCGACGTCAAAATGACGCTCATAATGACGTAAGTTTGTGTTCGCTTAGGAGGAAAGAAATCGGTAAATGCGCATGGTACGACATCTGTGTGGACGGGCACAGCGGACTACAGAGGCCGATGTTAGATGGGTATATAAACGTAGGACTTACGTCATCGAATGACTCGTTTGTTTTGTTAGTGCATATCAGAAACGCTATTCAAATAAGCTTTTACTAAAACCCATGAAAAGATGATACGATGTTTTGGTTACCTTTGCCATTTTACTCAGATCACAGTTTCATATAGGTGTCTGTAATGATGAGAACGCGTTCAGGAACAGTATCTGCATTAATATTTGAGCAATTTTAAGGACGCACGAGCCTCCCGTCTAAGGAAGACTATGTAGTAGTGGTTCTGCGACAAATAAAGTAAAAATGTCAATCAGTTTTTCTAGAGACTTTTGCTTGACACAAATACTAAAACCCAACGAGGTTGGCAACCATAACCCATGCGTAATACATATTTAACTCAAAGCGCTATCTTAAAATAATATGATATATAGGCACACATATTTGTGCTTATATATGATATTACTTTATTATTATTATTATATAGCTAGATATAATATGTTGGAGCTGATCTGTCAAGAAAACATATTAAGGTTGCTCTTTTCTCATTGAATATGTTTCTATGTTTTAAAAGTAAATTACATATATGACACTAGGCCATTTCAGATTTTGCATCTGTTGGCAGCAATGGCAAATCGTCCATTTCTTGTCTCCTTACTATTTCTATACTGCAGCTTCTTGGCCAGCTGCTTCTTTGACAACGGCAATAGCGACGGCAGCGCGGGTCAGGCCCGATCTCAGTTCTTCCTTCTGTTCCCGCTTTTTTCGATTTTGGTTTGTTTTTCTCTGTTTGCGCTGAAATAGTCAAATAAAACCAAAGCTCCGAGCCAATTTTACTGGGCATCAATATATTTCCAGATCAGAACAGACTACCGGTTGAGCAGTTCTACCGGCGCGCGGATTATAATCTCATATTATTCGCACTACTTCCATATCTTCGACATCTTTAGCAGCGTAGCTGACACCGGCTAACGCTCTGGCCATCGCCGGCCGGGCTGAACCAGCGCCGTTCCCACGGCCACGTGCTACTCTTGACATCCTCCTCTCTTCTGATGAACTTGTGATTAGGGCAGAGCCCATGCACTGAATAATCGTATCTCCTGAGCTGGTATAATTTGCCCCTTTTATTTCTTCGGTTTCTGTGAGTCTTTTCTTTGGGACTGTTCTCCTCTCGTCCGTTTTGTTCGTGGCCGTTCCAGACTCAACTCACCCACCATGACCACTTAAAAAATGCCGACGAAGTCATCGTCGCTGCGTTTTCGGCCGTGTCGCCCGTCGATACAGCATACATTGGCAAGGAAATGTGACCTCATAATGTTATCACTCTTGCTGCGACAAGAACTACAACTACGTGCACGAATACTCTGCTGCCATTGTTACAAAATTTCTTCGACTAAATTATAGCAACAATAATTCTCGTTATCGTTGTGTTGTAGAGTGCTTCCACGTTCATTCATCCGACGAAGAACACGAAGAATGAAGTTGTAGTAGACAAAATATTGAGACAAGAATGGCGGGGTAACGTGTCTCTATATGTAATATTAAGTCCATGGCGGTGAACCGCGCTAAAACTGATACCGCCCATTCGCGAATCTTCAGCTGCCATAAGCTAACCACTGTTGTTTTTGCAAGACTTTCTACCCACCAGCGTTCTTCCTTATTATGCTGTATATAGTAGTAAAAACGTTTATATATATGTATATATATATATAGCCGTAGTAGCCGCCGCTGTAACCGACACTTCTGCTAACGTAGTTTCAACTGGCGGCCGGTTAGTTGTTGCGAAAATACACGAAGACCATTGCGAACGATGACAGCAAAATTGTAAGCCTTACGATATTAACCGCGGGCAGAAATGCGCTGTCATCAGCATCTCGTAAAAAGAATGATGATTGTCAGCGTGGCTTTGGTTCTAAGCGGACTTGTAGAAGAAATGACTGTACATCTATTAAACTCGAATACCATTAGTTACGACACATATAATATTATTGAACAATCTCGAACCGAAGATACCCAGTGCTACCACCGTAATGGCATGAGCGCGTACGAACATGTATGTGGGTGGCAGAAGAGAAGATCATTTGTTTAGTGTTTTTTTAAACTTTCTTTTAAGTAGTTCGCGCAACCATCGTTGTGTCCATTTTATATCCGGCGAGAGGACATGCGCGCCCTAGCGCATGACGTAAAATAAAATTAAGCGGAGAGGCAACTGTTTGTCCTTGCCTACTTTGTATCTCTGTCTGCAACTCGGCACCGTGACGGGTATACCACAGAGGCGAAGATGATGATGTCCATTTCACCATCACTTTTTTTAACCCCTTCTCTCCGCCAGCTTTATGTGAATATGTGAGAACACGAGCAAACCCGGCGGTAGTGACTGAAAAAAAAAAAGAAATAATTGGAAAAAGCATGGAAAATCGTCGTAGATTCGAAATTGTGCTCGGTCTCTCATTTGGGACGAGGCGCGCCGCGGTTTGAACAAACAGAAAGACAACAGATATCACATGTTAAATATTGAAAGATCAAAAAGTAATTGAGTAAATAAGAGCTTAATTTAGGCCTAAAAATGGCTACTATGCAGTAATACAATAGTAACAGATAGTGTTGTATTGTTGTATAGGTCGCCAAGAAAAATATAATTTTTTTTAAACCTTACTTATCATACAGATATGCTACAGCGCTAAAGGTATGCGAATAATGTGAGTAACCGCTAATTGTGGGTAACTGTTTACTTCTTGCATACTAACTTTTGATATTTTTATGGATATGGCGACCTATAACTACCACGTGGTTGAACCGTGACTCATTCAGGGACACCGCACGTGTAGTGTTATTGCATATTTCAATGAAGATCTATGCGTGGAACTGTTATGCTTACTATATTCACATAGTAGAAATTACGCCTGTAGCTATACCCTAATTAAGTATAGCTGGCAGGGTTGTTCAAAGATCTCTTGCTGGCAATATGTGTTGTAAATAATTTACGGAGGCCGCTTTTTAAGCTTTAGTCACATTTAGGAAGTGCAAATACGTTTCAATATTTGTAAAAGATTTTGTCACTAAGTAGTTTTATGCTAGAATATTTTGCGAAAAGAATATTATAGATAGAATACCTTGTAAGAATACCTGAGTAAGAAAAGGTACCGATTAAAGGATAAGTTTATCAGAAAATTACGGTTCCCAAGTAGCCGCCAATAAAAGAACAATTATCTTTAGCCTTTAACGGTTCTCTCATTTCTGCATAGTCCTTCTTTTATTCACCTGACTGATTGAAGTGAACAAAAAAGCTACTTGTTGTAATTGAGGCATTGGGTTATATTCATGAGAGCTGTACTAAGTTTATCATCCTTTTGCGGTAATTTTCTATCGACATAAGAACCGCATCGTTTTTTTTTTCATAGCCTATATACTTGCTGTCAATTTATCTCTCCTGTCAGCTATGAGAAGTATAAGTCTGTGGAACTATAGAATTGTTCGCTTTGAGTATATAGTATTCCTGTGTTCAAATAGTACTCGCGACATTACAGGCTTGCCATAGGTCGCAATTTTTGAAATGAAGTCATTAGAAGCTGGTCTTTGTATTCCACATGTGGTCGTAAACAGGCCATACAAGTATGTACTTCACTGTATTGCTCATCTATTTGTACAGACCCTCATCGTGAGCAACAGAACAATTGAGAAGCGCATTTAAAATAGATCGTCCGTATCACACTAGTTCATAGTCGAGACAAACGTCTTATTTTGTAGCACAATCTATTATTGTAGATATATTTGTCTTTCAAAAATGAGGAAAAACATGTCTCATGCATATCAGAGTTTGTGTGTGTATGTGAACTCCAACTTATTAGTGTGCAGATAATTATATAATTTCCTTTTACTGCTCAAAATTCCGATATTTTCAATGTAGCCTGCTCGTTTCAAAATAACATTATATTTGGTGGCGAATGAACATTTATTTAGAGGTCAAAAAATATGTATTTTAATATGAAATAATAACTTTTCCTTAAGTTCCTTCAATCACGTCAGAGCTTCGAAGAGGCGTGGTATACTACAATGCCATACGAACATGTTAATTATTATTAATATTATTAATTGTCCTTTCTAATAGCTAAAATAACCGTGGTCGATGATTTAGCGAACTATCTATACATTAGACAATTTTTATGAATTTTTCTATCTATTAAAAGCCAAAAAGCTTTTTCAACGTATTTAGTTCTTCTACCAACTATGTAATGCTAGAAGCAGTATTACGTTGGATAGGGCCAGTAGGTAGATGTCCAGGCGTCAGAATCCAAGCCTTTCTATAATAAAAATCATATTTTTTACATTGATTATTATTAGTGGAAAAAATTACAAGAGGCCATAAAAATATAGATGCATGCAACGTTAAGCCAATCGGGAAAAAGGCTTGTGAGCTTACGAAACAGGACAACTTTCATATTTGCTTATTTGATTTTTTGACCATAGCATTCACTAAACCCTGTCTTTTGCATAATGTTTTAGTTCCGAACACGTTCAGTGGAATGGCTTAAGTAAAAAAACTCAGCACCTTCAACGGTATTCTATGCATCTTTAATTTCAACCTAGATATATTCCTCATCTCGTATCATGCGTTTCCGTTCGCCACGACCTTTCTGGTCACCAATACCCGCTACTGATTTTGCCGATCAATACAAGATAGTTGTCTGAACTAAACTGGCAAAAGCAACATAAGACAGCCTTTTTTTCTGGTCCCCGAAGATTCTCGGTATTGCTTCGACCTATTACCACTCCACATTAATGCAACAGGGAAGTTGAAGTCATACCAGCTGTCGACGTCGCATCGCGGATTTGCACTTCATTCCTCAATAACTCTCATTCTCTAGCAATGCTTCTACGATCCCTTTGCTGCTGACCGGTATGCTATGCCCCCTACACTCTAGCTCCGCCTCTCCACACTGCACACTAGTTAACATTGCATTAGCTACCAGAGGGCGCTGGCCAGCGCCTTCGCCATCACTGCGCACGGTCGCGGCGGGTCTTCGAAAAGTACGTTCATTCGTTTGTTCGTAGTCTTTATTTGGCTATGTCGAGTGGGAGAAGAAAACGGGAAGCAGCACCAGTAATAAACAGCTTGAACTTCTCATTCGATTCTGTCTGTGTATGTGTGAGAGCCACTATTATTACTGCTGGCGATGGTGTTGTGTATGAAACTTTGCTTGCGATCCGCGCTAGGAGCCGTTTAAGGGACTACTTTTGGGGGCCCGCCATTACGAACCATCATTGCTATTTCCATTACGGTAAATTATTGTAGCAGCAAAAGCAGCCTGCACCAGCAACACCAGCGCACAGAAAAAGAAATAACCGTATTTCAACTAGTGCGTCTTTTTCAACTAGTGTTTCTGTATCTCTCTATAAGTGAGTGCGTGTGT